CCCACCCCCACCCCCCTCCCCCAAAAGATTCATGCATACTTACTGGTACTTGTTTACCAAGTAAAGAAAAAGTAAATTTGATAACTTATATGCAAAATTATGGTTTTTACCAGTGAGAGTCCTCAAATTTGGGGCCTCTAAGTAAATTCTATACCTTGTAAACCTCTGTGCTAATGGCTTCTATTAGCTCCCTTTCCTTGCGATCTCTGGATGTGGCAATGTTAGTAAATGTAGTAAGCAAAAATATGGCTTCTGACTGTGACATTCTGGCCAGTTGGTCTGTAAATTCCCCCTGTCTACCTAAATTTAGTAACAAGATCAATATCTCATAAATTTTCCATTCAATATTTAACTATCATGCACATTTTTAGTTTTTTTTTCCATTAATACTCACTCTCCAGTACATCTCTCCAATCCTCCCTCATGGAATCTTCTTGGTTAATGCTCTCTACAGAATCAAGTTTGGTGACATCTACATGGAGTGCCCAAAACAACTTCCAGAGAGTTTTGGAGGAAACACTGCGAAAGGGCATATCTGCCAAAAACTGCCAAGCACCCAGCCTATGACGCAAATTACATTGCATTTAGCATATTCAGTAATGTACAAGCAAAATAATAATCATGGTAGACATATATTTATTGTATGGCCCTAAGGTTAGCTGAATATCCTCTCTTGAGCCTACAGTACATCTTTTGGAACTATAGTTAATAACATTCATTTTTTAAAAAATGCAAGTTGCCATACACCGTACAAGGTAATGAAATTTTCTTAGATGCCATCCGAAACACAAGAGTTGGGAAAAAGTCTGGAATCAAAATTTGATCCTCAGTCACTGATTTGGAGAATGGAAGCTTGAGTTTAGCTTTTCAATTTCCAATTTTAAAGAATTAACAGATTAATCAAAATTGTGGTTTTAATCATCAAACTACAACAATGCTGCTACTATTAGAGATAAAGGAATGAGTTAAAGTTTAAAATTCTTTAACCAAAGCAAACAGAAATGTTGCAATTACTCTAACCTGTTATAGATGTTAAACTATTGTGATTAAGGGTACAAAATTGAACACAATTTTAATCTTGCTATTTGCACTTATTGGCATATACCCTGTAACACTGTACTCCTACCATATCATTTCAAAACAATCTGGATGTCTGCTGAGTATTTTGGATAAATGTACATACCTGTGTGCAGAAATGATCTGTTGTGCAGCACGGAGAAAGAACTGATCAACCTCTACTTGAAGTCTTTGTAATGAGTATTGATTACCAGAATGGAAAGAATCTGGAATGGCATTCTCAGATTCTCCACATACATTCACTCTCCAACTTCGAAAATCTGACCAGTGGTCCAGAACATACTGTACAACCTGCCTGAAATAATTTTTTCTAGATAAGTAATCTACCTGCATCTGAGAATTGGTTAAAAATTTAACATCCTTGAAACTCAAATTTAACACTGATGAAGAGAAACAGACATAGGATAATCCTTTACTCTGCAAGATGAAAAGCATTATTTCATGAAAATGTTTATTGTATATAAGTAAACCTGTAACATTTTGTTCCAAGTTTCCAAATACCTTATAGTTCGTCCCACTCTTTTGACAAATGCTCTATAGCGCACTTTCTCATAAGTTCGGAATGCCCTTCCCATGACGCATACAACACAAGATGCAAAAGCCAACATTCTCATTATATCGCGGCTTGATGTGTGCTCCACATGGTAGTGTGACTCGATTAGACAATCATCTAAAAAATGATTGAAGATTAATATTACACCTAAATCAAGATAAAAACAATGCAACAAATTTCATCTTCTTTGTCATCTGATCATTTGCCATATGTATGCACTTGAAAAATGTCAATAATAGTTGCCAATAAATTACTTTGTTTTCATTATCATAGTCACTATTAAGTGTATCTGTCTAAGCATAATTTAGGCCAGATCTTCTCACTAGACAGTTATGGTTCTACAGTTCTGCTATTTTATGGGGGTCAAGTTTAGTATATGATGTTGCTTATCAAAAATATTCAAGACCTACATATACATGCAGCAAGACCTTTAAGGAAGAACATTGGCAGACACTTTCAAATTTTGGTGTTTTTCAGGGAGTAATTCTTGCAGATACATTTACCATAATTGTTCAGGGTTTTTTATTACTTTTCATAATAAACTAAATGAGGACTTACTAGGAATGTTTGGGTCCATTTTGAGTAAGTGCTTGAAAATGGCATCAAATGGAAACTGTGAGAACAGTGCTATGAGATCATTCTCTTGAATCAGTACCCAGCTTGTTTCTGGATCTTCATCCTAAAGGAAAACAAAAGTGCACAGTACACTATTATTCAAAAAATGGATGCAACAAGTAAGTCTTCATATGAGTAAGTCTACAAACAAGCCTAGTGGCCTGCAATGGTGGAGCATCTCCTGGTTGTTGTACCAGGAAGCATACAGTAGTTTGATGACAACATTATCAATAAATAAATATTACAGAACACTACTGCATGAACCATACAGCCCTGCATGCATAGTTCTTTAAAAACAGTAGACAAAAGTCCAAATATGAGGACCATATGCAATGGTGTGAGCAAGGTTAGAAAAAGCTGTATAATGCTTAAGATGTGAGCTGAAAGAAAAAAAGACAGAAAGAAATGCAGCAGCCATTGTGATAAAATACTCATTGACTGCGAAAACATAGGCTCAGGGAAGGACACAAGAATACTTGGTTCTTAGTCTTCTCTTATATTGGTCTACATTTCATAATGTCAGGCTGAATATTTTCACAATATATTGTCCTCCCTGCCCAGTATATAAGTACATGTACTTACAAGTATAAGATTTACATGTACAGTATCGGTCAAAAGTACATGTAAGTTAACAGTCTCAAATCAATTCTCAATCCTCAAAACTTTCAAGAATCAAGGATTCAAGGATCAAGAATCAAGGTTTGAGAATCTAGGACTGAGAAGCTCAAAAAACTTTTTGAAGATCTCCAGTTGTAGCCTTGAGGAAAGTACAATTTTATTTATATTTTATCCTCATTGTCTTTTGAATCATTTATTAGTAATAGCAAAAAAAACAAAAGGAAAGATACATTTTCTGGACTAACCTACCAATTGGACACAAAGTCTACAGAAACAGATACATTTAACCAGAGGTCAACCCACTGCATGAAATTAAATAGAGCTAACCTCCAAGGACTCTCCATCATCATCTACAATAGTCCAACTGATTGATCCCATGGCAGCTGAGGAATACAAATTCAATGTCAGGTGAATGTCTTTGAATGGATAAATCCTTTGCAATGCAGCATCAATAACTGAGCTTATTTTTTAGTAACAGGTGACAATCAGAAATTATTTTTATTTATTATATCTTTAAAATCAACAAAACAATATTAGATATCATAATGATTATCTCTGGTATCACCTTTCAAGGGGTGATTTGCAACTTTCAACCCAGCAGACTGCCTACATTGCAGTCTGTAATCACCCAGGAGAAATCATAGTAATTGTTAAGTACATTACATATAATAATATCATTATCCTTAGTATCATGATCTCAATAGAATTGCAGAGACACTTACTTCAAACCTCACATGTACCCCTAAGTCATATGAGGAAGTTTCAATTTAAAAGGCTCCAAGTCAAGGCTTTCATACAGTGAGTATATTGTTCAATTATGACAACTGGATTTGAATGAGCAATAGCCATACCTTCTTTTCCAAGAGCAAGTTTTTGCAAATATCTGTCTCTTTCCCTGAAAAAAACAACATGACATGAAATTACATTCACCCATAACATATAACAAATGTTTTGCAGTGTACTGAAGTAAGCATTTATTAATAACCTTTATGTTTACTAAAAAGGTTAACTTGAATGAAAACAATTCACAAATTGCTAACTCCAAGTAAATTGTCAGGTCAATACTAATGGAAAAAAATCTCAACACTGTGATTTTAATACGCAAGCCAATCTTGGAACAACTTGGCTAAGTTATGGTGCTTGATTCGAAAAGTGCAAATTTCAGGCTCAGCTCTTTTGTTGCACAAGAACAATATTCCAGTGGTTAGCTTCCAACATGAGGGATTTGTCTTTAATTAACTAAAATTTTGTAATGTTTTTTATGCAAAAATGTGTCCATAAATAGCACATGTGATCTGAATACATCCATGCTTTATGTTCATGCTCTATTACATAAGCATACATGAGAAGGAGACACATTAAAAACAAAAATTGGGTAAGAGCATTTGAGAAATGCAAAGAAGAAATCAAGTTTAGGCAAAAGGGCTGAGACAGCACACTTAAAATTAGTGTGCTCCTTCAGCGTTTAGGTTACCTGACAGGCAGAAGCAGAGAAGATAACATAGCCACAAAATGATGAACTAAAGGATTGTCCCAGTAATATGGTTCATCTACCACGTTATATCCATGGCTTTTGAATTGCGGTACAGGAAACTGGATGAATTGGGCAATTTTACTAGTGAATCCTGGAGGACACCTCAGCAAGTGATTTAACAAGAATACAAGATCTGCCAGGCAAGCTACACGCAGAAGAACAGCAACCTGTTGAAAGGACCATATATCACTGCTTTTCTTGAAAATGTTTTATAGAAATGAAGAAAAAAAATACATTGTTTAATTGTGTTTGGACATGGGGATAATTATGTCTCGGCCAATTCATAACCAATACATTGCCCACCATGACACCATGTTGTTATAACAGTCACCTACACATTACCTATCATGAATGATGTAACCCATTTTCTGGACTAGTTTGATCACCATTCCACATTTTTGAGCCATATTAATTTTTACAATGCATAATGATTTTAAAAGAGGTGCAACAGAACTTCATCCACACCTATCCCTTTGCTTGGGATGGGACAAGCCTTAATAAGCCTTCACGCAAAAAAGCTAATTTCACAAAGCCAGCTGCAAACACTGACAACACTGCACCCTAACTGTGCCGCATTAAAATAAATGAACCACACCATACCAGCTGTTCCATCCAGCCATTCAAAATTGTGACAAACTCTTCATCTTGAATTGGCTGTCGAACAAACATGAACAATACACTGATGCAGTCTCTCAACCTCTGGACCTCAGCCTGAGTATCTGGACTCTGTTCACCTGGGCACAATTCTAAATTGAAAAAAGGAAACTGTGTTAGCTTGCTAGCCTGATTTACTTGGAATCCTCTAGTTATATGATTGTACAAGTAAATCAGGTCTTGTATACAGACTGTGTGGTTCAAATTCAGTATTGGTTTGAAGCTGTATCCTTCTCAAGAATGTTTCTAAGTTTGTGCCTTAGTATGAGTTTAAAACAAAGGAAAAAACCTTGAATCAGAGAGAAAAAAATTAGGCCACATCATGTGCCTTAACTTCGGGTGAAAATTTTGCAAAAAAAATGCAAGCATATACATGAAATATTGGGCCTCACAAAGTTCAAGATCAGTTGTCTACAGCTTAAATGAGACTGTTGTGAAACAAATTAATAATAATTATAATTATTAAATAATAATTCTAATCATTATAATGGTAGAACTTGCAAACATGGTTAAGGGCAGATGTCTGCCAAGGTGATGAGGTTCCTTTTTACCAGTCACTAGTGTCTCAGATGAAACATTCCTTGAAATGGGTGATTGAGAGAGCATGTCAAAGATGTACATATCAATGTGAAGCCGAGCAAGCTGACACGTGTATCTTTGCAAAGCAAGAGTCTGAAAAGACAAAAGTATATTAGATAAAGTAGCAGCAGAGCAAAAAATGAGGGAAGTGTTTGGGTCTGGTTTTCATTACACAACCTGACCCAAATCTCCCTCACTTTTCATTCCTATGTAACTGTCTCTATCAATATTAATTACCGTGTTTTGGTCAACTCACTAAATGTCTGATTCAACAGTCTGTTGAACCATACAAAGCTTTTACAATCTTTGAGCTCTTTGTTTGCTTCCATTTTTCCAATTAAATGGTGGCTTACAAATTTTTCTGATATTTTGTGGTCACTTGGAGCCAGAAAAAAAAAATATTAGGTATGTGTGTGATAGGTACATGCCATAATCAGGTTCTAATATAGGGTTAAGCAGCCTCTGGCTAATAAACCTTTGGTTGATGTTCTAAATCCTGAGGGAGTGCTCCTTTTTATTTAAGATAGAGATGGTACACTTTGGACCTTATAGTAAAAATGGGATACACTCAGCCCAATTTGTTCAGTAATACCATATTATAATAAACTTTCAGGAAAACAGTCACCTGAGTTCCAAGTGCATTTATAACTATGTTACCTCATGTAAAGCTTTGTGAAGTTTTCCAAGCATGCTCTCAATCTCACCAGGAACACCAGCATTTAACTCCACTTGCTGGTAACTATGGTTGTGTGTGACATTTACCTGGTCCAGACATTTTCCCTGCAATTGGATTGTGGTCAATAGTAGTCAACTTATCAATAAGCACTCAAGTGAAATATAATCTTGTCTTAAATAAATAAACACTTATGTGCAAATGTGATCAGTCCACTAAGTGATTTATCAAAACAAATCTGGCAGTCAGTGAGTGGTTGTGTCTGTCAATTAGCCAGTAAGTGAGTCAATAAACAAATCTACCATTAAAAAGCCAGTCAAAAAACCAATGAATCTGTCTGTCTGTCTGTCAGTCAGTCAGTCAGTCATTCAGTCTACCAGTCTGTCAATCCCTCAGTCACTTAATTCTCAGTTAATTAACGAGTTAGTCAAACAGTCAGTCAGTCAATCAAGCACAAACTTAAGTCACTCAATTAGTTTAAAAGTCAATTAGACATAAGTCAGTTATTCAATCAATCTACCAGATGGCGACAAGTCAGTCTTAATAACTTCATTACCTGAGCTGTAACTGAGAAGTTTTTGTCAATCCATAGTTGCTCTTTCTTCTTCTCGCACTCAGCAAGAACAATCTATTAAAACCAAAAGTAACTCTTTATTATCAGGATACAAGAAACACTGACACAGAACATAATTTATGGCAATTTGAAATTTTCTCTATTGGTTCTTGTTAACTGAACTGACAAATTTAATCATAAATATTGACAATTATTAACAACAATAAATATTTTGTATATAAGATACTTAACTTATCATCATTACATGTAACTATTAACCACAAGCTGGAGTTGCAATTTACATGTAGCACCACAAATACCAGAGCCTACTCACAGGCTAAATAGACTGCAGTGAGAGGTCTTATAGATTAGTGTAAACCACTGGTAACTGGCTTTGTTGAAACCACTGCTTCAGGCTAGGAATCCTTCATTCTAGTTTTCCTGGATACTACATACAAACCTCATATTCCTTTATGGCCATTGCCAGAGCATTTCTCCCTCTGAAGTAAGCATTCACAAGTTCATAGAACTCATGATCATCTTGTTTGCTAATCTGTCAATTAAGTTAAATGCGCATGTCAGAACTGCATACTAGACAAAACATTTTAAACAACTGATGAAAAAGAGCATGAGTGCCCTTTGTCATCAGTAAGAGAACACCAGGAAGTTATGATAAGTGGTTGTGTTCTTCAGATGCTAGCTAATAGCCATAATAGTGGTAGTGCATACAAAGATGGTCTATTCCATAAACTTTGTTAAAATTTAATTGTATGCAGTCTGGCAATTGTTATGCATGGGCAAGTAAGAATGGTGTATCTTTGGAGGGAGATTTTAAATTGATTGTTGCCACAAATACAGGCTTCCCTAGCTGCCTCCCCTCACTTGTAAGGTGCAGACCTGTGAATATTGATTGGAAAGTACCCAACACTGAAATCAAAAGAATAACCACATGGAACAAACAAGAACACAACAGAGACTTGTGACAATTTTAGTGCAAACAGGGCTAAAGGAAAAAATTTCCATTAAATAATGATATCATCATGTGTAAGAGCTAATCAAGATAATGCCATGCAGAACCTTTTAATTCAGTGTTTATCATTCAAGTCACCTTCTTGTTTACTGAGATATGTGGTGTGGTAAAAAATATTCTTTGCTTCAAAAATTTTCAAATCAGGTTAATTTCAATAAGTTTTTCTTTGCCGACATGTAAGATTCTGGTAACCTTAAAAGATCAGAGATGAAGGAAAGTCAAAATTAAATTGGTTTGAAAATGTTGAAACAAAGGAATATTTGAAAAACAACAAGTGCAAACCACACATTATCAACTATTTAAATACCACCACAGGCAATCCACTCCCAGGAACACAGCAAAGTTCACTGGTGTTTGTTTGACTCATACCTTAATAAAGTGCTCCACAAAATCTTCCATCTGTTCCAACAGAGGGTTGAAGTACAGAGTTTTCAGGTGGTCTTCACTAAATGCTTCTAGAGTCATTCTGTACTGCCTTATGCTTGTTACTGTTTGTGAGGAAAGTCACCAAAATGGTAAACAATTGATATACAGGGATTTATCAAACAAAGAAACAAAAACTCTCTCTTCTGCCTCTGTCCATTTAGTAATATCTTGCTGAAAACTAGTAGTACCTCTCATATAAGTAATAGGTTATTACCCTATCATGTTTCATGCATTTGCCATGCTCATCCTTGGGAACAAAATTTAATAAATATCTATAACTGGGCCCGGTAGTTCGAAGGTCGATTAGTGCTAACCCAGGATTAAATTTAAATCCAGGTTTCTGTATGTCTTTGTTCAAATGCCTTTTCTGGATAATTTTCTCTTTTCTTTTTAAAGCATCCAAGACCATATTTTGGACAAAGTGAATTAGATGGATTTTTCTCTAACAGCTTTCAGATCTGAAACCAGATTTCATATTAACCCTGAGTTATCTTAACCCAGCTTTGAACAACTTGGCCCTGGACACAATTCTCTTGCCTGCATTAACCAATTCTTTTTGCCAAACAAAAAAAAACCATTCATGATTAAATCCTTGACTGACACATTATCTTAAAAAACTGCTTCAGGAGGGAGTGGTATTTTCTCAAAACCTCTGAAGATAAAATGATCACAATGGAGAAGGTTTTGTCAAAATGTATCTTTCTGATTGTCTTTGGAAAATTTGGGTATATCAATGAAAGATCTTTTGTTCTTTATCTTACTGCGAGCATGGAACACAGGAAAATTCTGAGTCCCAATGAGAAAGCTAACCTTAGATGTATGGATTGTGTGCTCTAATGCTCTACCACTGAGCCAAAGGCCATTACAAGGTTCATACATATATGTGACACACGTCCTGTATACTAGTAGGATCAGTAAAGTCAAAAGCCTTGTTTGATTCAACAGAATGAGGAGGATAGCCAATTTTAAGTTTGGTAATATAGATAAGAAAGATATGTTTTTGTCTGAACACTAGGATAATGCAAACTAAAAATGCAAGCTATCATAAGGAATCAAACCTTAGACCTTCAAATTCTGTACTCCAACCCTCTAGCACTGAGCCACAGAGACTCTATAGTGTGCAATGCCATTAATAGGTTCATATGCTCTTCTTATATTAAGTCAAATATGAGGCTTTTGATACTACTGATCCTAGCAGTATGTGTAATATATATGAATTAATCAATTGCCTGGCTCACTTTAGAATCTCTGTGGCTTAGTGGCAGAGCACAGAAAACCACAGGTACGAGGCTGATGCGTCATGGCAATTCACAGTTTATTCCAGGTCCCATACTCTTAACAAGATAACAAAAACATTGTTCTTCATTTCATTTCCAAGCTTAAAATTTACCACCTTTCTAATTCTTTTTTAACCCTTCAACTTCCAATATCTCATTAGTAATTCTTCTTACTGTCTGCCAAACAGTTCTTGTGTTGTTAGTTTGGAGAATTTGGCATTGGATCAACCTATAATCCTCTAACTGATATTTTTCTTTATCCTCATTACTTGTCTGCTTGATATTGTATTGATATTGTAAGGAGAAATTCTGTCTTGGTCACTCATGGGAGTTAAAGGGTTAATCCACACAAAGCTATCCAAAATGCCACTCAGGGAACATTGTTGCAAAACTTTGAGCAACTTTGGATTGGATCAGATCTACAACAAAAATATTTCTTTCCCTTAATTTAAACATTCATGTAGATTACAGGTAAACATGTACTTGTCTATTTTTAACATCTAACAAGGTGCAATATATAAGTGAGGAGCCAATTAGGCCTTACCTGACTTTTTGGCGAAAGAGTCTAGTTCTGGATATAACTGAGGTGTTCTTACTTCCTCATTGCTTACTGGTAACTCCCTGTCACCAATTTGTGGTAGTAAATTTCCAGAACTGTTGACTTTGTCATCCTGTTGTGATCTGCTGCTACTCAAAGTTACACTTGTTTCATTTTCTTGTGTTTTCTCAACTTGAGTAGGAATTTGACGACTTCTCTCTATTTCATCCCCTGTGGTAACCTGTGTTGTACTTTCACTGACATCAACATTTTCTAGTGTTGACATAAATTCAGGTTTGTTAACATCACTCTGAGCTTCATCTTTACTCTTATTTTTGTACTCCAGTTCTACAGTTTCCCTTATTAGACCTCTATCTGTTTCAATTGCATTTTCTTTCTGTAATTGATCAGGAATTTGATTATCTGTGCCCATTTCAACTCCAGTGGTAGCCTGTGCTATACTTGTATGGACAGCTTGATTTTCAAGTGTTGAACATTTTTCAGGTTCATCTTTAACACTATGATCTGCATGAGCTGAAGATTTTGATTCATTGTCATCTTCAGTTACTGAAGCATTCACATTTGATTTTGTCTCACTGTTGAAACTCTCCAGTTCTTTGACATCCTCAGTCTCATTTTCGTCCTTTTGTGAGGGTAAAACCTCTTCATTTTTCTCAGCTAATTGAGAAGTGCCGGGAAGGAGAGTAGTCACTGAATCTTCTGTCACGGGCTCAGCTGCGAAAGCATTTTCACTTAGCTTTGTCACTTCATTTGTTTCCCCTTCAGAAACAGTACTGAGAGTAGCATCTGTAAAATAATGGACAGGACTAACATAAAAAAAAAATAGAAATGACATGATACATTTCGTAAATCGCTGTGTTTTCAAAACAAAACAAAACCCTCCGCGATGAAACATAAGCATTATAGACCTTTTGAGGCTTCAGATTCTTTCCCCGCTGATGCAGATTTTGTGGCCGCGTCTTTAGATCTTCGCTTATGTTTCCTCTTCGGTTTGGTAGCTTCCATCGCATGTCTAATTCAGCTGATTTTCGCAAAATCTATTATGGGTCTGCTCCTATCAGGATTCAGTCACTTCCAAATCAAGGGTCTATCCCATGACTCTTTGAGAACTTCCGGTTTGCAAATTAAAGATGGCGCGAACTTTGGAACTTCGCGGAAAAAATGTGAGTGAAAGTTAGTCCAGAAAACAGTTTTCATGACAATTCATTGTCTTGTTTAGAAATTTATAAGTAATTATGTACATATCAAGACACCCAGCGTATCTTTAGAGACTCCTTTTAGAGAGCACTCAAACCGGTTTTTATTGTAAGAGCCTTCTATGTTTACGATTTTTTTCAAATGAGCCAGCAATGTTATACAGCCACGAGAAGCTAAGCTTCGATAGGTACGTGGTGTTTCCAGCACGTTCTGAGGCATACGCGAACTCGGAGGTTTTGATGGCGAGACACTCTTGCAAGTTCGCTTTTCTATTTTTAACATTGTTTCTGGTCGTTCTTCTGGAAGACGGTTGCCTTGGCAAAGAGAAGAAACCAGATCCGAAGAACAAGAAGGAAAAGAGCAGTAAAATAGGCAAGAATGTGATGGATTACACGGAAGCAGATCTGCACAAATTACTCGACCAATGGGAAGTAAGCACGAAGACATAAACATTGTTGTTTTTCTTTTTAACTTCTCGCTTAAGGGTGTCAGAATCATTAACCATAGATTGTAGACTCACTTAAGGTATTTGGAATAGAATGGCATTAGTTTTAAATTAGAATAGAATGGCATTAGGTTAAATTTTCTTCAGAGCTATTATGAAAACATTTGATGCTCTGAAATTTATTATACCGATGGCCTCTTAATATTTTGAGGTGAATTCGATTGGAACACACATTTTCCATTTTTTCAGGGATGGATTCAATCTCGATTGTTGTCTCTTAAGTTTCTTTCAAGGGCTTTTCTTCCGTGTTGTAGAGTCCCTGAGACTCACTCTTTGTGTAATGGCTTTCAATTGTTGAGAATACCTTAGCCTTATGATAGTTGGATTTATGTTAAGGAACACCCCAGCCCAGGGGACACCTCCATTTTTAGGGCATTGGCTTTGTTCCCATTCAAATGGTAAGCTCTTATAATCTCTATATATTTCAGTGCTGTTAAAGGCACCTCTAAAGTGAGTTCCAATGTACACTTGTGCTGATCTTAGGAGTTTCACATGGATAAATGTTCAACCATGTAGACGCTCTTTAGTTACATGTTCTCTCCTTCACTTAGGAAAATGATGAAGATATTGAGGAAGAAGATCGGTATGATGACAATGACCCCAGAAAGCCACCACTGCCAGGTGGAGGCTTTGATCCTCAACAGTTCAAGAATGACCCAATGGCTCTTTTGAAAGCATCTAAGAAGGGGAAAGTTATCATGATGTTTGTGTCAGTGGCTGGGAATCCAAGTAAAAAAGAAACAGAACAGATAACTGCAAGGTGGCAGACAAGTCTTTTCAATGCTCAATTTCAGATTGAAAGGTATTATACAACACATGAATATATGTCTTAAGTGTCATTTTTGTCCTGTTAGGCTTTCTTTTTTACAAATATTATTTATGTATACATATATATGTGAAGTCTGTGTTTTGATTTTTCCATAGTACAGTTCTTGATACGTAGAAGTAGAGCATGATATTTATTGAGATAGGAAAAAACAAAGAGACTACAATTTCATCCCGATCAGCCTGTTTTGTGATTAACTCACTCTTCAGGGGATTTAAATGACAAGAATATTCATAACTATCATTAACTTACTTTAACATTTGCATAATTGATGTGGCAATAAATTTGGATGTTTTGTTCAGATGTTACACAGCAACATATATATTGCTGCTATGCAGCAACACACACACATATAATTTGATTGCATTACTTATGTCATATTTGTGACTTTCGCTAAGTGGACATAAAGGTGACATGAACCTGTCCCTCATCTTTTTGTTACATGTCTGCAATTTAAGTTTGATTCAGTCTATTTGACTCCACTGTGAGTTGTGTCTAGCATTTGAAACAATTTCCTGTTTTAAAAAAAAAGGGAAGAAAGGATGGATGAAAGAATTGTTCGATGCACAAAGTAGATCTACCAAGAGTCTCTGCAAATAACCTGCCTGAAGTAATTCACTATTTATGAATCTTCTGTCTATGCTCAGGTATATTGTTGCAGATGACCGTGCTCTCTTCATGCTCAAGGATGGTAGCTTGGCTTGGGATGTCAAAGATTTTCTGATTACTCAGCCAGATTGTAAATTAGTTGAATTTGATAATCAGCAGTTCCCAGGAGCTGGTGCAAAAAGTGATCCAACAGCTAAAACTGAACTCTGATGTGATGCCATTTCTCATTAATAATGTTAAAGAATTGTACATTATTTCCAGCTAGTATTTTTATTAATATGTTAACTCTGGAGTTAAAGGTTACGGTAAACTTGAGATGATGCTTCACGCTGTTTAACCTTCTACACACTAACATTAGTATCCAAAATATCCATAGTCATCTCTATACATTTCATTGGAAGTTACTAAAACAAGGAATGACCTAAAATGATCTAAAATATGGCCATGATTGATTTCGAAAATGACTTAAAATGACCCAAAATTACCTTGAGTGATTTCTAAAATGACCTAAAATAACCTAATATCCAACCAGTCCAATCCAGATTTTGTCAGTGCTGCAAACTCAAGGTCATTTTAGGTCATTTTAGGTCATTTTAGAAATCACTCAAGGTCATTTTAGGTTATTTTAGGTCATTTTAGAAATCACTCAAGGTCATTTTGGGTCATTTTTTAGAAATCACTTAAGATCATTTTAGGTCTTTTTAGGTCATTCCTTGTTTTAGAAACTACCGCATTTCATTTGGTACTGACAACAAGTGTTTGTTTAACAATCAGCTTCTTATGTTGGCAATCATTTCATATATTCTCATGATCTTTATGAACAATTTGGAAGTAAAACTATAAGGAGAAATTAGATGCTGGTAACTCTTAGGTTTTAAGGGGTTAAACATGGCAGGTAACCAGAGACAGAAGCAAGCAAAAGACATTGAAAGGAGCCAGAAGGATCTTGGCAACCTGCTAAAGTATGCAAGAGAAATCCACATCAGACCTATTACTGGAACAAAATACATTTTGTAGGATGCAAGCAAAGCTCCTGATTTATGAAGAGACTTAGGTTGATTATGTAGATTTATAAATTTCCTGAGACATGCAAAAATGTTTAAAGGATGTGTCACATATTTTCTTAGCTTTAGGTTTTGATTAGGTTTTTGTAATCTAAAAATCCTTACAAGGAACAAATCACAGGGCTGTGCTCTAGCCAAGTGGGGTCACTCTGGCAAGTGGGAAACTGGTTCATTTATCTTTGCATTTGTGAAAGCTTTGCATCAGGTTTCTGTGACAAGAACTATCAAATACTAAGTGATTCTTCTTACAGCACAGCTTTCTTAACACTTGAAAAGTGATGGTCTCTACATTTGTATCCATCGTAGACTACACGCAGTCCCTCCTTTTTGGTGTAGTCTGTTGCACAAGTAAAAAATATCAGTGAAAAAATTGTTATTGCACCACAGGGAGCTGTAGGAGTGACATTGATACACTGTGGTGCACTGACATCAACTTTTTTTTCATTTATTCTTTTTGACTCGCACGACAGACTGCCAAAAAGGAGGGACTGCTCATGGCTGGTATTCATGGGAATCTCCCACTAAAACTGATTTTATCTGGACTACCTTTGTTTTAGTCATACAAACAGTTGAACATGGATTGACATTGGAAGTCCTATGTGTTTCCTCAAAAGTTTGCTGGTTCAGATGTAGAGAAGATTTTTTCTCTGTAGATTTACATAATTTTTGTTTTCAGCCCTTGCAATGTAGTGCAAAAGTCACAGAACCAAAAGCTTTTTTCATTCAGCTTGGACATTGATAATACTTGAAGACTCTGATCTCTCCTCACAATATTTAGTCAATATCATTATAGGTAATCAATTTTGAAGTAAATCAATTATTCATATTGTACTCTTGGAAAACTTGGTTTTTTCACTTTTTTTCAAGCATAATGCATATTAAATGACTACTAATTTTGTGAAGTGCTGGTTTGTTTGTTTGAAAATTTCCTCATTTTGTTGCAGTCAAGTTGTTTATCAAAGCACACAAGTGATGTTTTCTCTGCTTGAAAAGCCAAAGTTACTCATGGCAAGCATATATTTGCACCCTTGTTTCCTTGTATAAATGACAAGCTAGGGGTTAGAGTATAGAGGAGTACGAAGACAGGAAGATTGTGACCACCTGCCTGGTGACAGTGACACACCCAATTCCCAGACTTCAAGCAAGTTCTTCTTTTTTCATGTTGTTGTCCATTGAATTTCCGTGTTCCTGGGCTACCCACCCTTCTTATAATCAAGCTCACCAGATTTTAATTCAGCCTTGAATAAGTTGACGAGGTGAGAATCCGGAGATATGCCCGTTCTAAATCTCTGCCTTTTTATTTTGGCTTTCAAAACCCTTCAAAACAATTTACCAATATTGTTGAGAATGTTTAGTCTGTGAAAAAGACAACGGAGAAAAAGAGAGTCTAAGCGTTACCATTAGGAACCAAACGTATCACTGATGTACATTGCATGTTTGGAAGAAGCAAATCAAACTCTTGCTGCAATCACTCACAGCCAAATCCAAATTATCACAGATATTGAGTTTATAATCTTGCCCCTTCTCCAGCAAAACCGACGATATTCAAGCGACTCAAATCAATGCAAGACCATTACAAACTTCCTCTCACCGAAGTCTCGCTTTGATTGCAGCATGTACTCGCGGGATCCCTTCTTGAATATGTTTGGTCTTGCAGGCGGCAAAAGAGTTGCTGTGTCTTCGATTCTTCAGAAGAGGCCGCGATTTACAAAGTGTCACAGTTTCATGTTGATCTTTAAGTTGATTGAAGCCATTCGAAGGCTGGACTAACAGCTTAGGAAAAGGTCCAGAAAACGATACGCAACACAAGTGTCAAACATCGTGCCTAATGTTTACCTGTACTATGCAAATGTAAATCTTTCACTCAC